AATGAATGGCTCATATGATGTAAAATACGTAAATAGAAGGTTTTCATTAGTTTAAAATCATAGTGCTGCCTTTATAGTTCTGACCCTCAAGGCACTGTATATTTCTGCTCTTTCTCTCTTTCACTGACAAGAATTAACTCTGCATATCTACCAAATAACTTGCATAATGGGATCCTGATGCTGGATTTTGTCTTTTTCTGAACATTAATTTTCTGTTTCAGCCCATCCTTTAGTATGTGCTTCTATAACAGCTTAGCTGCTCTGTCAGTTCAGTGCTGTAGTTTGCAGGGCTTTTGTTGGTTTATTTTTTCTAAATGGGCTATAGAGAAAGCTTAAGTTACTGCTGGTGACAACCTGACAGTATAAACCAGAGTAATGCTGTAAACTTGCGCCTTTCCTAAATGCTCAGCTTTGTATCACGGCTGTTTTATGACATGTCTGAGAAGTAACAAAGGCCTGCACAAAGTGTTAATAATTAGTGCTTTAGAGAAAGAAAGAAGTTATTTTTATAACGCTTGGAATATTTATGGAAAGAGACAAAACTCAGTAAAAGGTTTTCAGAAACGTGGTTCTGAAGTTCTTATTTTTTGCATTCAATTAGCCTTCCCTACATGTTGCAGTGTATAATTACGGATCTCATGGGTTCACAGTGTGAATTTCTCTGTGCCTGCTTCCTAAAGTGTGTTCTTTCTAATTTCAGAAGTCTGTACATGATCTGTACAGTTCGGTTTCTAGAATCACCGTAGGTTGTAGAAGGGCAAATCCAGTCTCCTTTTACAGGCTCCATGTGAAAATGGATTCCTTCTGGTCCTAATGGTTATGCTGATGTCTAGCTCATGAGGAGCTGTGCTACCTCTGATCAAAAAGTCCAGCAGTTGGCCAAAAATGAGGGCCAGTGTCTCATCMTGTTACTTGCAGAATAGACATCAGGAGAGTTTGAAGCCTCAAATTTGGTGCAAGTCGATGGAAAAAGAAAGAAACAATTTTGGAGAGATCAGGCCTCCCCTTCCTCCAGAACCTGATCATTTTCCTCTTGGGATGTCCATCAGGATCTGGACATGTGATTTAAAATCTTAAAGCCCAAGAAAGGAAGGGTGATTTTCTTTTCCCCACAAAAGCCACTGGGCGGCTTTCACGCTGTCAGGAAAGCAATCTCCACAAATTCCAATTTCTTGGGCACTCATTTAGATGCCTTTCCCCATGTGTAATAGAGTTTGGATTCAAAGGAAGCCATTGAGCGTGCTCTTCTAGTGACTTTTAGCTATTACCGAAAAGCCGGTAGCAGGAAAAGCTGCTTTCATTACACAGGAGCTGTGCAGCAGCTAATATTCCCTGCCTGCCGCCCAGGGAGCGGATCCGTCGGTGCCGTGGAGCGGGCCAGGCAGCGGGAGCCTGTCCCGCTCCCGTTCACGCACACGGTGCAAGCGGGAGCGTCACCCGGTGCCCACCCCTCGCACGGAGCAGCTCCCTGTCCTCAGGGGGAGCAGGGCCAACTGCAGAGCCCAGGGGTCTCCTAGTTTCAGCAGGAGGGGATTGCAAAGGAAACTGCCCTATTTAGCCTGCATTTAAAGATAAAGAACTGGATGTCAGAGTGATGGGCAGAAAGAGAGTCCTGACTTCCCCAGATGCAGTTTTTGTAGGCCAGAAGTCCCAAATGAGCCGCTTCAATCACAGGCCATGGACAGCCCACCTCTCTTCCCKCTGTGGGAACAGGGGCAATGGATACAGGGGGAGTGGTGCAAGGCTAATGTTGGGGGCTGCCGGTGTGGGGGCTCTGCAGTTCTGCTCCTCGCCCATGCACCGGCTCCAGGCAGCCGGAGAACATGCACCTCCATTCCTGGCCATTCTTCCCTCTCCATCTCTTCATCCTGCACCACCAGCCAGCGTGTTGTTTCCCACAATTTGGTGTTTCTCCACTTTGTTATTTCACTCTGCAATAATCCCACCATGTTGATGAAAAATATATCCTGGAGCTTTCAGTGTCTGCAGTTCTGCACAGAGTACTGAAAGCTTAGTTAGGGCAAGCGAGCTTCAGGGATGTGTTAATGGAGTCTGTGAGAATGTAGAGAGGAAAAATTGGTGGTGTCAGAAGGTCGTTCTTGTACCGATTGGAAAATCAGCAGGAAAGATGGGTTTCCGAGCTGCAATCCATTTCAGTCCATTAGAGGGGCATTTAGGACTGACCGTACCGTGTGCAAGGACACTTTGCCCTGGTTCACGGGCTACAGCCAGCTGTGCACTTACTCCGTGGATTTCTGCCTATAGAAGGAAAGTCTTACGATGGAGAGGATCAAATGGAGGAAAGTATTCTCACTAACATGTCTGAATCAACGGGATTCAACAAATATAGCAGGTATTTGCGTCCACAAGTTTTCCATTTAACTTTATAGGCACAAAAGCTAAAACGTAAAAGAAATGCACTGTAAACTCTTCTTGACTGCAAATTTACTAGGTGCCTAGTCTTGATGTGGGCTGATAAAGTGTGAGTTTTTAGGCTGAGGAAAAGGATTCTGATATGTAGTGGCACCTCACCTGTTTTTTTCAGAATCAAAGGCACCTCACCTGTTTTTTTTCAGAATTAAGCGAATTTTATGCTTAAAATGCACCTTTGATTCTGAAAATGCACCTTTGATTCTTTTTCCTCCTGATTTTTAAACAGTGAGAATATATACCAACTCATGTTGAAGAAATTCTAAATATTCTTAAAATGAGGCCTTTTTGAAAGTTTGTGTTTAAAAATGAATGGAGGTTAGAGCAGCTCCCCACAGGTAGACCRTGCCCGCCGGGAACTGGGAGTGGGAAGTGACAAGATGGTTTCAAGCTTCTTGCTAAAAAGCGTCTTGCTAAGGCAAGGAAAGAGAAGGGAGGGCAAGGGGAAGGGATRCCAGTAGGAGAATAAAAATACATGTCTTTTAATGAGAAAGATAACTGTGGGCCTAAGCAAAAGACACTAAAATGGTCCAAACAATATGGTCTAAACAATAGAAAAGAATAAAGGAAGCAAACCAAAGCAAACAGTGTCATTTTTACCTTGCCTGAACTTGTGCAACGTGCATTCACCAGCAAACCTAAACATTGCCAATGTGCTTGGCCAAAAGCAATAGCTTTGTCTGACAGAGAACTGAAGAAAGCACAAAGATACAACTAGTTATGTTAKCTAGAGCTGCTTATCTCCAATGCGGCTAAAAAGGGGAAAGCTTGTCTCTCAAAGAGAATAAAAAAATGAGTAACACCATGAGATATAGTTCTTCCATTTTATTTTTCATTTGCCAAGTGCTGTATAAATCTTAACTATTAAAAATGCTCGACCTCTGTATTGGAAGCTGACTTCCTGGTTTTCTCATGCTTTTATTTTCCTTAAAACCACCTTGCAATCTAAGATTGCTTTTGAGTATTTTGCCTGTGTTAGCAACAGATATAAACCATGATTTGTTGGTCAGACTTTATTTATGGACCTCATCTCTCCCAGAAGGTGTTCAGTTTTCTCTCAGCTGCTGGACTGCATTCCCTTGCGCATAAACCAGCACAAGGCCACTCACAGGAGCAATCTCACTAATTTCAATAGCACCGCTAATGGAATTACATTTATGGAGCGAGATAATGAGCTGCAGGAGAGGGTTTTCTGTCCCATACTTTTATCAACAACATTCAGGTTCCTCTGCCGGATGAAAAACAAAACTTTGGTTAGTCAGAGTATCAGCTCACATAGATCTAGCACACACGTAGCAAGAAAATTACTTCTTTCAATTGTTCTGTGTTCTTAAAAAAAGAAAAACAAGAGCCCTATCCACAGTCATGCATGACAGCATCTGCCTTCCAGTTAGAGCAGGGCAGTCACTGAGACCTGGTTCGTGCTCACACGGCCGCTTTGCGGGACTTGGTGACATAAATCCTCCCTTCCTCGGTTTGATGTCGCTCTGCACAAGCACAGTCTTATTTTGTTCTGTTGCACCAGCTTGCGAGCTGACTTGTAGCCTTTTGGCAGTCAAATGAAAGCTCAGTGTCTAATCATAATCTTGTAGAAATGGTTTCAGGCCGATAAGAAATGTATATATATATATATATATATATATATATATATACACACACACACACACATATGTATTTGCTCTACAGAATGCAAATATATGACTGACAATGATCCTGGTCATCTTACTCAGAGGATCAACCTGTAAACCTTGAAAATACTGCCTTTCTGGTTGTTTCTGTAGTGCATAGAGACTATGGTGTCCATCCGCTGTAGAGCACGGTTAGTTCAGAGTCACTCCCTGCTTCCCCCTGCTCCCCAAAACACCCTTCTCAATGGCACCRCTGATTTCTGTTTTCCATCTCAGGCCCAGTTCCTGCAGCCAGTAGGTGCTGGGAGCTGGTGTTTGTCAGGAGATTTCTGCATCTGTGCAGACATAAAAATTTGCTGGTGCAGGACCTGTTACAACCTTGGGGGTCTCTAACTTGAGCAGTTCTCAGACATAGCAAATCAACTGTGAAGGTGCTGTTTCTCCTCGTCTGTGCGTTGTAGTCCCTGTACTGAGATGGACAGAGTCAAGGATGGGAATTTCTCCTTGCCAAAACCCTGCCTGGCAAACTGGAGGTATCATTCATGTGTTTCTGTGGATGGAGTTTGGGTTAAGCCTCAAAGTCTCAGTGGAAGTTATACATCTTAGCAGAACCACTTTGGACAAATGTATTCAAAATAATAGTTGTGTGACTTTGAGGGAGAACAAGTCACCGAGCACCTCTGAAGTGCCATATGCTCCACGTTACAAATGTGAYATGCTATTTGGTTCACTTTGTTTGCCATCTAGGACTTGGGTCTTCTTGCTTAGCTACAGAGACTGGTGCCATGCTGAGGACCTGCGGTGTAATAAACCAAATTTCTAGAATCTAACAAGATTAAGCTAATTTGCCATTTCCTCCTAGTTATGCTTTGCTTGCTGCTTATTACCAAAACACTTGAAAGTTTTTCCCWCCCTCAGCTCTGTGTTTCTTTGTTCCTTCAGGCTGTGATTCGTCTCCAAAACCAGCACCTCAGAAGACCACAGAGGCAGTGGACAGTATCTTTGAGTCCCTCAGGGATATTGCGAGAGCTCGAATGCACATGAAGCAGTTTAACTCCATCCATAACCCAGGCAGCAACACCCACCAGGCAAGTGCATCTTTATTTTTTTTCCCCTTGTTTATGTTATTTCTACGGGACACAGCCAAAATGACACCTCCACCAATAGGGCTGATTCCGTATGTGTGCTAATCCCAGATGTGCTCTGCCCACGTGGAATGTATTTGTGTATATATTCTCTAATTGACCTAATCATCAAGAACTTCCTCAAGTCCTGAAGCCAAACACAGGCAAATTGCTGTCAAAGTTAATCAAAAATTTGTCTGAAGAAGAAATCTGGGATTCGCTTCACAGCGCGGCGATATGATGAGAATGTCTGTATCCTGCCTGAAAGGCAGGACTAGGTCAAGACTGTACTGGACTGTGATGCCTCATGACAGATGAAAGCAGCAGGCCTGCATTAGGATGGCAGTGTTTTCTATCCCTTCTTCGTAACTAGCAGAAGTTTGTTCCCTTCTTAAATAGGGGAAAAATGCAGAGTTTGGTTATAAAAATAAACTACTGTATCAGTACAGGTCATTAGGGCTAAAATTACTCTGTTTTTCTATCTTTCCACTCTCCCCACAAGCGTTTGTCAGTTAAGAATAGAGATTTTTCCGATGGAAAGCAAATGCTGCGACTTACAGAGAGACTTTAAAACTTGATTTCATGCTTGAGCCAGAAGAATAATCCTTCCAAGCTCTTAAGTATGCTACAGACCAGCAAAGGGATATAGTTCAAATTAAGCAATGCTTGTAAAAACAGGAGTCAGAAGTGTTACAAATAGCACTGGAAAGCTAAGGTAAGGAAGGACTGTTATTGAAGTCTCTTGGCACGTCTGACCAGTCTGATGTCTAAAATGGGGAAAATTGTATAACATTTAATACAGTTCAGCGTGGGGGCAGTCAGATAATAAGAACATGCCTTATAAAAGTTTCCTGGAAATGTAATTAACATCGTTGTATTCTTTGGATGTAACTTGGGTTTGTTTGCTTAGAGCAAAGTGCTGGAATGCATCAAGGATTTAATTGTCTTGTTAGAGTAGCTGGAAAAAGCAGCTTATCTTCTGCCATAGATCTCTCTGATAATCTCTGTAATGGGCAGAGCATCATATGCAGCAAGTTAGCTCACGTGAGGAAGCACTGCCCTTCCCATGAGCATCCAGATCCCTGCCCCAAACGGGGCTGCCCTCGACGGGCTTTCCTGCTCTCTCTGTCCGGAGCTGGGAGGCCTTCATTTCTGGAGAAGAGAAAAAGTGTTTCCTGCACTTAAGCAAGTATGCAGAATTGAGTGGCCTCTTAGAAGGACTTTCCGTAGTGCCGAACTTTATATGTCTTCCATAAAAAGAGCTAATGAATTTTTCCCTTCCTTCCTTCCTTCCTTCCTTCCTTCCTTCCTTCCTTCCTTCCTTCCTTCCTTCCTTCCTTCCTTCCTTCCTTCCTTCCTTCCTTCCTTCCT